TTTTTCAAATATTTTCCCCATTTTGTTGAGTCTTTCGATATGATTCTTTTTAGGGTGTTTTTTTTTTTTTTATTTGTGTTGTATTATTGTGGTTCTTTAAGCTACCTTTTACCTCCACAGAGGTAGAGGGATTTGTTCTAATTCTGCAGTAGCCTCTCTGTAACAGAATCTAACTACTGACCCAGCCCTCTGCTTCCACCCTTGAAATCCTTTCACTTGAAACTAGCTAAACCTGGGACACCTGGACGCTTAAGATTCTGAAGAGAAGGTATTGTTGGGTATTTGGGTTAATATTGTGTTTACTTACAAAATATAATATATTCTAACTTCTATATGAAAGTTTCCTCCTAAGATAAAGGATTATCAGGTCTTTATATTAAAGAGAAAGAACTGACAGTTACCTGAGGACCTTACTAAAGTTTAGCTTTTATTATTTGCAAACACTTATACGTTCAAGAAAAAAAAGTGTGCTGTATTTAAATGTAAATAAAATAACATGTTAATCATTATAGTTCAGTACACAGAACAATCTCTTTGGGCTTTAGTGTTGGAACCCTTCCTGGCCCAGAGCCCTATTCCATCTCTGTCCCTCCTTTATTCTGTGTTCATCTTCTTAAGGTAGGTTTCTATTGCATGAACATTGAAATGAATAGTGTAATACTTCTTACGAAGCTCCATTTTATTTACATATCACATATTTATTATATTACATATTAGCTTTTTAAATGTGACATGTATATGTCTATATGTAAAATCTCATTTAAAGTTCACAGTCTATTGAAATAATTCCTTCCATTTTTCCAATGAAGAAAGTAAGATCTAAGCCCTACTTCACTTCTTACATTTATTTAGTCCCTACCCTGGGTAAGAGACTTTGGAATTGATGGAAACATTACCTCAGATAACGAATTTTGCAAAGTTACATTTTGGGATTTCTCACTTGCTTCATCTATGATGACCTGAATTTTTTTCTACGGTAACTACCAAAAATCATGTCATTAAATGCTTCTTCTAGATTTGATAGTATAATCTAGTTAAACTTGAAAGGATTTTACTTAAGACCTAAAACCCTGATCCTCTACCCTTTGGCTTCTATACACTCTCCCAAGCATGACTTTTTAGTTAGTGCTTTTTGTCCCATGTACCATTTCTTTAGAGTTGATTTTTTAAAAAGGAGTCATTTTTCCTAAATCTGTTCTTTTCTAGGTTTTTCTTTAATTCAAAAACTAATGCCAGTGAAGATACATTGCAATAAGGTAGGAAGTTGAAAAAATAAAATCCTTTAGTTTGTCCTTACATGTTTAAATGAGAATATTCTAATATGCTCAATGGCTACACTAAAAACAAAAGAATCTTTTACATCGAAATTCAAGGAGAAAACAGTATGTTAAGAACACTCAGGGCATTTTGAAATGTCGGCAGATCAGG